ATTGCTACTCTGTTTCTTTTACTTATTTCTCTAATATACCATAATTTATAGCCACCATTTTTTTTTTGTTTTTTATCCTTCCATTTCATTTCTTGTAAGCATGCAATCTTAATCCTTCTCTTCATAGTTTTTTCTAAATCCATAGTTTTTTTTATTACTGTTACTACATTCCAAGTGGCCTTCATTTATTTTGTAATGAATATGAAAAAGTAAAATAGGTCAAAAGAAAATAAATAAGCTAAGATTAGTAAAACTTCTTGCTTATTACATTAATGTATAAATACATGTTTCGTTGAAAAGTAGGGCTATGAGCAATATTTATTTCTCTAAATTTGACTTCAACTCCAATTAAGCAAAGTTAAATTCATTCAATTTATAATTGAATCAAGGGAAAATCTATGATAGGAAAAGATATGATATGGAAAGAGTTTTGACCAATCAAAACCCACCCATGAATTTGAAATTTGATAAATAACACCTGATTCGCTACCACATTTATGATTCCAATTTATTGGTCAGTTGCTTTTCAGATATCATATATTTTCTATATCATAGTCAAACCCTTGAATCAAATAATAATCCACCCCATCTAATCATATAATATTTAAATATTTTTTTTTTGTACACACACAAACATATATATATATCATATTAATTATATGAGATTTATACTTACAAATATCAATTGTCTAAATATTTTAGGCAATATCTATAGAACTTTGACCAATCACACCTCCCCACAAATTTTGCTAAATGTCAAGTGGTTGCTATTGATTATCACTTTTACAATACTAGTTGGTGGGTTATCAGTTTTCTAGGTACGATGCCTTTCTAGTATTATAATGGAACTCAATGTTTTAATATTTAAATCTAATCAATGAGTTAAAATATTTTAAAAATCATTAAAAAATGTAAACAAAATCTAAATGTCATTTCATCCTTTTTTTTGCTTTTAGCCTTTTATCTTTACTTGCACACCTTGCATCACATATATTTATTAAGAAAGTTGGTTTTAATGTTGCATGTTTACTACTGAGTCATATGCCCTAGTCATATTTTCAAGTCATTTTTACTTCATTTTATTAATAATATATACTATATTCCCATAATCTTTTATTTAATTTATTAATAAATATTCAATATCCAAATTCAATCCCTTATGTAATTGTTGATGGCTCTTTCAACACCAACACATACTTTGCACTTGCCTGGTCTTCTCCCCTATAGTAGCTAAAGAGTGAACAATCATTAGAGGCCTAAGAAAGCTCTTCTCTGTCAGGCTCTCACAAGCCATCCCCTTTTCTGGTGCAAAAGATGGTTCTTCTTAAAGTCAAAAGGAGCCAACATAAACATTACTTGGCATGAAGTGGTGGTGATTGATCATATCAAAGTGTTAATACCATTTTTTTGGTAACATGTCTTGTTTTTGTTAATAGAGCTAATGTCCTAACTGCTCATGTTATGTTATCTAACAGAGCCCAGTATGTAAATTCGTGTATCCTTAATGTTTTTAGTAGTTCATTTTTTTTTTGACAAAAAAATTGTCCAAATTCAATTTAAACCCAATGGATAATATTTTGGGTAAATTATAAAGACCCCCCTGTACCATGGGGTCAATGACAAAGACCCCTTGAACTTTCACTTTGCGACAAATACCCCTTTTTAGAACTCCATTGTTAACATCGAAAAAGTTTCTCATTCAGCTCTTTAAATTTTTAAGCCCCTAAATTATCCTTCTCTTATTTATTTAAATAATTTATGATTCAACTAATTTTCTAAATATAATATTGAATAATTGAAGTCCTCTCAGTTGCTCTAATAGATCATCACAGATTTCTTGTTGGAATCAATATTTAGATAAAATGGTAGAAGTTTCTTTCTGATAGATATAAATTTAAGGTTCCATTTGGTTTTTCTTGGTTTATTGGAGAAAGGAGTGGATAATTTCTATATTTTAAGATGAAGAGAGACATTCATATCAGTGAAATGAAACAAGACTTTAAAGAAACTTGTTTTTCTATGAAATGAATTTTGTCATTTTACCTAGTTTCATTTGGAGAAAATGGAATTATTTTGGGGTCAATAGGGTTTAAGAGAAAAGGGCAAGGAAAATAATACAAGGAAAGTTCATGTGGGTATTTTGATAATTTAATCTATCATCCAACTTAATCAGAGTGAAAGTTTTTTTTTTTTTTTTTTTTGTGGGGGGGGGGGGGAAGGGGAGTCTTTGTCGCAAATGAAAATTCAGAGGTCTTTATCACTAACCCCATAGTAGGGGGAGTCCATATAATTTACCCTAATAAATTTTGTTTTGATAAATCAAAATTGGGTCTAGGTATATGGGAATAGACCCGATCCATCTTCTGTACTAGAAAACAGAATCACTAGGATCACAATTGGAATAGATAACCTTCCAAGTTCCAAGTTTCCAACCAGGGAAAACAATTGCCTGGGTGACATTTAATCAACTGTACGGTGGACAGTATTGTTTTACCAAACCAAAATAAGAAAGCAACATGAAGCGATGACAGCAGGTGCATCATCACCATTGTTGTCATCTTCTTCTTTGTACTTTGTCTCTCACACAAAAACAAAAAACTAAGTTCCAGTACAAATAATTTCTGCCATATTTTCGTATTCTCTCTTTTAAGTAGGGATAATGGATCAATAGGGTTGATGCCCACCAGTCAACACTTCAAACAAAGAAAAGAAGAATATTCTACCATACTAGTGTGAGAGTACGTGTTATACCTTATATCCAAGAATTAAAATATATAAGGTATAACAATGAGGGAGGGAGGGTTTGCTCTGGATTTGGTTCTATCCAAGAATTAAAATATAAAATACAATTACACAATGGGGGTAGCCCATCCCTCCAATCCAGGTGCAGGCGATATAGGATTGGTTTTCAAGTCTCTGTTACGACCAACAAGAGACCTTATTAATTAGTTGATTGGCACTTTGCAGTACCAACGCATTCAGATATACATGGATACGTCAATACAATTATATAAAGGTTTTTAAAATATTTAAAAGGTATGAGGTCTCTTTCTCAACCCCTAATGATTATAAAATAAAAAAAAAAAAGATAAGTATCAAACATATCAATACACATCCCATACCCAACTTTGGGTTCGGGAGAATTTTTTAATCCTTGGTCCTATCCACTTCCATGATTCTCCATTAGGGCTTATCTACAATGTTATAAGACTGGACTGGACATAAAACTGTAATGCTCTTTTGGGTGATGATGGGCTACACTGTCATTTGGGCGAGTTCAACAGTATGGTCCTGTCCAAGTCAACAGCCGGGTCGAGTTCGAGCCAGACTTTCACTCTATATTAGCCCATGTTGTTACTATTGTCAAAGCGGCTGAATAGAGAGAGAGAGATAAATTATAAAGAAAAAATAAAAAAATGTATATATTAAATTATAAATATATATATATATATATATATTTCAATAAATATTATATTATTTATATATTTTATAATATATAATGCTGAATCGGGCCGGGTTTTTTTGACAAATCCCGAGCCCAGCCCGAAACACAATCGGGCTTACTGTGTTAGGCCCGAGGTCAGGCCACGGACCTAATTACATGACCAAGCCCAACCAAGGTGCGGGCTGGGCCGGGCTGGGCCACCGGGCTACCCAGCCCATGAACAGGTCTACTTGACACCCTTCCAAATCAATTGTGATACTTGAAATTTGAAATTTAAAGAATAAAGTGATGATCCAATTGTATGTATGGTCACTCAGCACCCTCCAAATTGGATGTGCGGGATGAAACCCATGAATCTGCACGCTCTTTCTATGGTATCTCCAGTGGGCCTCACGTGTACCCTGATCCAACTAATCCCCAATTCCCCTGTAAGAATTTTACACCCAAAAGAAAGCACTTCGAAGTTTGAACAACAAGCTTTCAATGGAGTCTGTTTTAATTCTTCAGCCTTTATGAAATTGGCCGTCTCTAAAACTCGTGAGAATAGACTCAGAAACTGTTTAAGCAACACCAGAAATGTAATAATTAAGAATTTCAAAATCCCACCCATGAATTTTAATAAGTAACACCTGATTGATTATCAAGTTTATGATACTAGTTGACTGGTCAGAAATTTTTCGAATATCATGTCTTTAACCCATTTTCAGAAAATCTATATTGCCGAAAGACATGATATCATTAAAGTTTTCATTAAGTTTTGACCAATCAAAACCTATCCATGAATTTTAATAAATAACACCTGATTGGTTATCAAGTTTATGATACCAATTGGTCAGAAATTTTTGGAATATCATGTCTTTCCGGTATCATACTTGAACCCTTTTCACAATCCCACCAAGGAAAAAACCACACCACACATTTGGCCATGAGTTTTGGGAGATATTAGCTAAGCAATTTTAGCCTCACAATTGAACGTGCTTGGTTCTGAACATATTCCCAGTGAGCTAATTGGCAAAGGGCAGGCAGTGTAGTGTCATAGCAGTCCAATAGATAAGGCCAATTAGCGGTTCAACTGGGATTACTTGGGCACATCCAGTTGACAAAGACGTTAGCACTGTGTTGCAGAAACCCAACTCTTCACAAAGAAACCCACATTCATGGAAGGTGGAGAAACAGGACAACGAGAGTTGCAGCAGAAGTCTGGATTTGGTGCAAACACAAGTGTGCAAACCTGGCTAAGTAACAGCGAACACAAGTGTGTAAACCTAGCTAACCGAGCAATAAAATGGCATATTTTATTTAACCAATACAATATGGCATATCTAGAAGATATTTAGTAGATACAATTAAATGATCGTGTTCAAATCTAAGCCAGAAAAATATGAGTACGATCAAACCCCATACCCCCTTATATTTATCTTTCTTTGTACTACCCCTGCTTTACTTCATTTTCTTTGTACTGCCCTCTGTCAACTAGTGGGATGCATTTATGAAACAGACATATAGGAGCAGTTGGGGGGCCAAAGTTTGTGAAATCAATTCTATGACTCAGAGAAGTCAGAATGCAGTAGCTTGGTGTTTCCTCTACGACTGGAAAACAATTAAAAAAATGTTTCTGCAATTACATCGGGGAAAACTGCTTAAAGAATTTATGAATATAAGATTGAAGATTACATTAGGCAAATTATGGATTTCTAGCTCACAACATTGCTCCATCAGAGCCCTATGGAAATCTTGAAAAATGGGCGTGGTTTGCTTGTTCCTTCAGTACTTCAACTGGTTAGCAAGCCACTGTGGCAGCCTAAGCCAGGAGGGCTCCACCCCTTTTTGGACAATTAATTTACACACTATACAGGAAAGAAAGGAGATGATAACCCATGATAAGATGATGAAGCTTGAACAGGTAGATCAATGCTCATGTTTGACACGTGCTTTTAGTATTCCTGGAAGTGGGGGTGAGCTGGGAGGCCTACCCGCAGCAGTGGACCTTGTGGGATGTGGTATATGGGATTGATACATGCCAAGCATGCTGGAACCCTCACCTCCATTTGCAGTAGAATCATGAGCACCATCATCTCCCTGTGGTCTTTCACAGAACCTCATTGCCTTGAGAACATAATTATCATCGTGTAACTCAAAAGGAGTGCTGCAATTAGGGTGGCAGATAAAATTTAAGCCAGCAGAAGATAAAGTCTGGCTCCAGTTTAAAAGTTGAAACTTTGATGGCATTCAGAAACTGAAGTATCTGATGTTGCAAGGATCAAAATTTTGTCATGTATTGGCCCGTATCGACCAATACACATTGTATTGGAGCCTTCCAGATATGCCCCTACAGGGGGTGTTTCGGATCAGCGAGTGGTTCAGGGGGTAGACCGGCCCCTCTGAACCAATTTCGAAAAAAAAATTAAAAAAAGCACATAAAAAACAGTACCGACACAGGGCGATACACTGGTAGGGCGTATCGGCCTGTATCGATATGTTGAACCTTAGCTATGTTGAGGTTGGATAACCAAGCAACAGATTGGCCTACTCGTCAACCAAGATCTAATGCTACATCATTCTCAGGATTGTAAAGGTATATTTACCTATTGAAGTCAAAATGCACTAGCTGCATGTCCTCAGATATTTCCACCTCAACAGTTGCATGTGGACGTGTCTGCAGTTCAAATATACAAAAAACAAAGACAATAAATAAGATGTAGAAAACAAAAATAGCTCAAGAAACCTCAAAAAATTTCATTTTTTTATGAATAGAAATGTAAAATCAATTTGTGAAATATGATGCTTCATGTTTCAATACTGATACTAATTAACTTGTGATTCATCCACTATTTCATACCAGACTATCTACATAGTTGAATCACATGTATTTACGTCCAGAAAGCCATTTCATATATATAGATGTCCATGTAACAACTTGATGAAAAGATTTTTCAATTTCAGATTGCTGGAAAAAAGTTACAGATCTCCAACAACCGCCACCAACCCTTAACTTGTGACAAACAAAAGAAGAAAGGTGATAACCTTCAGACAGCATGCTCAAAATCAAGATCTACATGTAACATGTTCTTACAGGAACCTCCTAAATTTATGATAATGGGTGGCAATGTGGCATCAATACATCCAGTTATCCACACACTGTACTATTCTACTTTGGATATTTATCTTTTTTCTTTTATTTTTTTTTTTCAGTTTGATAACGGTGAGTCTGGAAACTAATCTAGAATGTGTAGCGCATGAGAAAGAGGTGCTGGATAAGACTAGCTCATATCTTACGGCAACATCATCATGTTGCATATGACTTGTTCCAATACAAGAGGGGGCATTTCCTGAGCCAATACCTGAACCAGAATAAAAGGTAAAGCCACACCCCCAGTTGGAGCATTTCCTGAGCCATATAATTGCTCATTCCGTTGTATCAGGTTCTGGAGACCTATGAACTTAGGGAAGGTAGACAAAAGTTAGAATGCTTCTCCTGATAACAGTGTTAAAAGAAAATGCAAAAATTAACCCAAATAGATTATTAAAAAGAACATCTTACTTGTTCCTCCAGTTCTTGCAGATAGGCAGCTTTCTTTTCTATCTTGCTTCTCAGCCCAATTCGTTCAGCCTGTAGTAATTACATTTATAGAATAGAATAACCACAAAATCGAGCATGAACGTTCACTATATATCTGCATATCTTAACATCATTCCCAAAAGAAAATAAATAAATATATGTAAAGTTGATCCGACCTTTAACTCTTCAATGTCATTCACGCTAGTTCGAGGTAGACCCTTCCATTGTATTTCCTTTTTATCTTTAGATATAATATCCATTGCCATGAGAACATTCAGTGCATCATATACCCTCCGCCGTATATTTTTTTCATCATATTGTTGCTGTAAACCGAAACATGCTAAGATAAGAATTCCATTCTACAATGATGCAAGAATGTAAAATCACAGGTTTTCATGCGCATACACAATTCATTTCTCATGAGTGCTGCTCATGCACCAGACAAGACAATTCAGGGTGCCCATGAGTAAAGGCAAAGAGCAATATATATTATCAGTAACATAAATATATCAACTCGTCAATCTGAACCATCTAATTAGCTGGTCATCTAGAAGATTACTGTTTTTACAAACAATACTATTCAGCAGTCATTTCCATTGCAGGATTGATTTTCCACAAGACCTTTCTTCAATGGCAATCAATCCAGCAATCTGATGGATGGCTAAACTAGCTGACATATGTGAAATTTGCATTATTGCCCAAGCAAGAGATGCTTCACCAATTGAAAATATGATAGATAAATTGGCAGTGTTATTAGATGCATTTTCTACCTTAATTAATTTCTAGTTTTCCCTTATTGAAGAATATATTTACAAAATAAAATGGTGAATCTAAATTTCAATGAATTGCTAATTACATGTAGATAACACTTCACAAACAAATAGATCAAACCAGAAATCAATAACATTCAGTGTTTTTTCTCTTTTGAATGGTCACAGGGAACTTCATTAATTAAAATCAGATTGTAATTTGCAAAGGGATGTGCCAGACACCCCAAGGAAAAACTACAACCACATCAACTTTCAGCCTCAATAGCATTAGGCAATACAAATTTGCCCTATTAACCCCTTGTTTGGTTAGGGAATCAGCTATGCAGTTTGCCACCCTCTTTATCCACCGAAACTCCACTCTTGGTTCTTGTGCCAGCTTCCTTATTTCTCTGAGCACATCTCAATGTTGCCAGGGACCATGTCTGTTATTAGTAAGCAGCTTAGTACAACTTTAGTACTTTACTATCACCTTCCACAGTTAGAATGCTTAAGTTCAGCTCAGTACAATAACATTCAACAGTTTTCAATCATTATTTCAGTAAATAAAGGGGAACATATTAATAGATGGAAGCTAAAATGGATCTGCATATTTGGAGGTAAATGCATTCAACTCATGGAACACAGTTTCTTGAAAAACAATTAAGAAGTACTAGATGAAGTTAAGTAGATTCAAGAACTAGCCACTCTTCTGTAGGTCATGGAAGATGTGTTTAGGCAAATGAGCCACATACCACTGATCTTTTAATGTCAGACAACGGAACCTAGAAGTAGCTCTAATAGGTGATAAAATGAGAGAAAGTAGATTGAGATGATTGATCAAAAGAAGAAATTAGATTGAGATGGTCTGGTAAACATGCATAGAAGGCCATCTACAGCATCAGTTACGAAAAGTGATCTGTTACAAGTTGAAAGGGCTAGAAGAGCTAGGTGCAGACTGAAAAGGACTTGGGTGGAAGTAATAAGAAATGAGTCAAGCACCCATAACATAATGATGGATATGGCATTAAACAAAATGAAATGGAAAAACAGGATTCATATAGCCGACCCCATATAATTGGGACAAGGCTTAGATGATGAAGATGACGATTTTTTTTCTCTTTTTGATCAGCGAGAAGAAAGAAATTTATTAATAATTACGTGAACAGGTTATAGAATATTACAATACTACCCCCTGTTTGGCCAATGATGATGACCACTGAACTTTTAATAGGTTAGAAGCTAAAGACTGGGTTTGGTTGAAGACAGAAGAGCCATGTGATTTTTACATGCGAGGAGGTGGCACAAATTAAATGGTAACACCAAGCCGATAATTAAGTCTTGAAGGAGCAGGGAGATAATCAAAAAGGAAGACAGATAGAGTGAGGGATGGACGAAGAAGGCATAGAGAGGTATGGTCATTCGTTAGATTGCAGAACATGAGGGTGGTTGATCCTTTGGGGTTTCTCTCAAGGTTGAAGATTTGGTTCAGTGAAGGTTAGGAGATAGGATGGAATTGGGTTATGTGCCCTTTATTATTTCTTTCCTTGTTGATGGGCTGTATTGGGGGTTTGCAGCAGGACTATATGCATGAACTGCATCTATTGGGATTCTTTTTCTTGGTGGGGGGTGGGTTCCAGTCTTCCATCTCCTTTTAGCACCATCTAAGCTGGCTTTCTTCTTGCACCTATATTTTAGTTCCCTTTGGTGAAGCTTTTTCTGATCTGTAAACTTTTCAAACATGTTAAAAGGGAAGAAAGTCATAGAAGGAGAAATTAAATTTCCACCCCTTTCATTATTGGCAATTTTGTAATTTTTTGGTGGTTTGGATTTTGGTATTTTTGAGCTCTTTTTAGTAATATATAGCATAATAGAGTCTTAGGTACAGGGCTAATCATCAAGGATTAAATTAGTTTAAGGAATCACATCAGAGAGTTTTTAAGATTTTGAAAAGGTGAAGATGCAATCACAACCACCATTTTTCACCCTATTTCTCAGGGTTCAAAACTTGACCATTTTGTATGATTTTGATGTCATTAGATAGGTAATTGTTATCTATCTAATGACACCAAGTTCTCATAAATCCAACATGTCTTGAGGGAGTCATGGCCTGTAATATTCAGATACTTATACTACATGCCTAGTGTACCACTGTTGGACACAATACTTACAGGATACAATACCGAATAATGCATGGATATCTCTAGATGTACTCTATAGCACTATAACTTTTAAAATATGTAAATTATAAAATGGTATGTCATAACAATAAATACTATAGAAAATATGTACATTTTAGAAATTAAATTAAATTTGGCAAAGACATAAGTGTTGAGAAATGACATTTAAATTTAAAAACATAGCTGTCAAGGTACCTACAGGATTCTAGGCAACAGTGGAGGGCCTGGTTGCCTAGGCAATAGAATTCCCAATAAAAAAACTAAATTCTATGTTAGTTTTCCCTAACTTTTACAGACCAATCAGCATCCATATAAATCAAAAAAAATTAGCAATGTTCTTTCCTAAAAGAATTAATTTGCCTCTAAAAGAAAATAGCATATTTTATCAGCAAAAGGATTTCATTAAATATTAAGGACTACAAAGTTTACAAGTTAAAGAAGAGATAAGGATGGCGGATCCAGATGTGGTACTAATTCAGGAGTCCAAACAGATGGAATTTGACAGGAGATGGGCAAGAAGTGTTTGGAAAGCTAGGGAGATTAAGTGGGCAGCTGCTCCCTCTTGGGGAGCTTCTGGAGGAATAGTGACATTGTGGAAAGATGTTTTGGAGGGGATTGAGGAATTAATAGGTAACTATTACGTCTCTTCGAAATTTAGGCAGGTGGAGGATGGTTTTGAATGGGTGTTAACCAATGTATATGGCCCCAATGGTTATAGGGAAAGAAAGAAAATGTGAGAAGAATTGGGAGACATCAAAGGCTTATGGGAAGGAGCATGGTGTGTAGGAGGGGATTTTAACACAGTTAAGGTTTTTAGAAGAGACCAACAACCGTAGGCAAAGGGTGACCAAATCCTAATTGCAAACGAGAGTGTGGAGGCCTCCAAGAAATCTAAGAAGAAAGGTATGGTACGTAAACTGGATATAGAAAAGGCTTATGACTTGGTTGATTGGTTCTTTCTGATGCAAGTGATGGTTGGTTAACTTTGGTTTTGGGGATAGATTGTGTAAATGGGTGAGAGTATGTTTGAGGAGATGCCATTATTCAGTGCTGGTAAATGGGACAGTGATGGACTTCTTTCCAGCATTGAGAGGGATAAGACAAGGAAACCCACTTTCCCCCTTCTTGTACATTTTGGTTGCATATGTTCTAGGGAGATTGATTCATAGAGCTGACTCAAGAAATCTGTTAAATGGCTGGAGATTAGGAAGAACAGCAAACGATTATTTGTCTCTTGGGGTGGAAGATATTGAAGTAAAGTACAATTGGGTTAAAAGAATAGCAAATTCTTTTGCTGACAGGCTAGCTAAACAAGGGGTGTGAATAGGGATTCTATGTTCTGGGATTATTTCTAATTCTGTTTTTTTGCTTGTGGGGGAGTTAAGACAGTTTACCTCCCTCTAGTTGTATGTAATCCTTTCACAATTGAATTCAATGAATTTTTGTTATTGATAAAAAAAAAAAGTATCAAGATTAAATTTGGGGATTAGAAGAAGAAAAACAGGTCTGAACAGCATACAAGAAAAGATGGCGAAAAGAAGAGGTAAGAGAAGGAGTCAAATTATTCTCCATTCTCCTCTAACCCTATTTTATTAAGCTCTAAAAATTACATGAAGACAATAATGCCCTTAAGTGGGCAGCCAGCTTGGCAGTTACATAAAGAAAATAAAACAAGAATCAATAACAGGCCCATTAAGTGTGGCCCATCAACAATAAAATAAAAGATATTACAAGAGAGGATGTTAGGGCCCATTCGGCCCAGTCTCTTTACACTCCCCCTCAAGCTGAGCATAGATGTCAATCATGCCCAACTTGCTTATATAGTGTGTCAATTTCCCTCTTGGAACTCCCTTGGTCAAGATATCAGCCAGTTGCTCTTCTGATGTGATGAATGGTAAACAAACTTCTCCTGAAGAAACTCTTTCCCTTATAAAATGCCTATCAACCTCAATGTGCTTAGTTCTGTCATGTTGAACAGGATTATGTGCAATGTTGATAGCAGCTTGGTTGTCACAATAAAGCATCATTGGTTTCTCGTAGTCCACCCCCAATTCCTCTAGAAGGAAACGTAGCCACAGTAATTCTGACACACCATGTGCCATTGCCCTGTATTCTGCTTCAACTGAGGATCTAGCAACAACAAATTGTTTCTTACTCCTCCATGACACAATATTCCCAGCAACCAGAGCACAATAACTAGAGGTGGATCTTCTATCATCAATACATCCTGCCCAATCTGCATCAGTAAAAGCCTCCAGCTTCATGTGACCATGTTTAGCAAATACAATACCTTTCCTTGGGGTACCTTTCAAGTAGCACAAAACCCTTTCTGCAGCAACTAAATGAGTATCTCTGGGAGAATGCATAAATTGGATAATAACACTTACTGCATAGGAA